AACGCATCTCTCCTTGGGTTGCTTGGGATCCGTTGATTCGGTGTTGGGCTAGTGGTGTTAGCCTAGCTCGGGTTGCTCCGGTTGGGGTTTCTTGGCATGTTCTCTGCGGTCAGTGATTACTGTCTTTTGGGTTGGGTTCGGGGGTGGGGTCCCGCCTTGTGTTAGGCCTTCGGCAGTTTCCGGGGTTGGGGCTTGGCCAGGGGCCCTTCCTAAAGAAGGTTGTAGCTGCTTCTTCGGCTTAGTCGGTTCTCCGGGGGAGGGTCGTTTAGTTTTGCTTTCTTTTAGTTTCGTTTGTTTGTTCAGTGTTTGTTCAATGTGTTTGTTTGTCTTTGGTTCGGAGATGAATACAGGCTAGGCATTGTGCAGTGGCTCTGTTTTTCATTTTCCTTTATTTTTGTTTTGGAGTTCTCTAGGCCGCATCGTGCGTGTCCTCTCAGTTTGCTATTCTTGTCTGTTGTTTTTTAGGTGTGTTCTTTGGTTTGGGTCGCTGACCCCTGTCTTATTACCCTGTTGGGGTCTTAGATTACCCTGTCGGGGCCTTAGTTTAGATTACCCTGTTGGGGCCTTAGATTACCCTGTTTGGGTCTTGTAATTTGTTTTTTTTGCACTTCTATGCTCTGCTATATTACCTCTATCGTTCCGGAAAAAAAAAAGAGACTAAAACAATTTTGAAAAAAAAAACTATCTATTTTCAAAATTATCCTCTTGATTTTTGAAACAATAAATTTGTAATTTGACTTAATTATTGTAAAATTTTGAAACTTATGGAAAAAAAGATTAAAGAGATGAATTTCGATTGATTTGAAATAGTTAAATCATTTTGAATTTCGTGCAAATTGAAACTTAAAAAAAAAAAGAAATTCATTATAATTTTGTAATTTCCAAAAAGTTTGTTGATTTTAAAGTGGCGCAAAATTCTTCATTTAAGGTTACTCGTCCAAGAATAGGAGCATGCGATTAAATATTTTTAAATTCAATTTGAACAAAATCCTTAAAATTAGGAAGAGATTTTGAATTAAGCTCAATTTGAGAGCAACTAAAACGAGAATGGATCTGAAATTTAAAATTTTCAATTCAAGTTTTTTTTCGGCAATTTTATTGTTTGGAATAAAAAACACAATTGAATTTTTTAAATCAAATATGAGAAATGATTTTGAATTTCAAATTATATTCAATGATCAAATTTTTAGAACTTAATGAAACCAAATCTACCAATTTATCTTCTAAGGGTTTAAATCAGTGTTCTAGAAGTCGCTAGGCGCCTGCTAAGCGCCCGACCAGCGCCTAGCGCCTAGTCGTGGCCTAGGCGGAGCTTAGGCGGGGCCTAGAAATTATAATGAATATATATATTTTATTTATTTTACAATTTCACTAATGAAATTATAACTTATAATTAATAAACTCCAAGTTCCTAGTTGTTTATTGTGTTGTTTCGTTGGTTTTTTCTAGCGTTGCTAGCGGGATTCTAGGTAGGCTTCTGTCCTGTCCTCCCATTTTATTCTCCCCTTTGGAGCTTTGTACTGTTATTCGCATAGTTATGCGCTTTTGATTTATAATAGTACCTCTATCGTTTCGGAAAAAAAAAAATAAAAACAAGTATAGAACCACAATATAACTTTTTCTCATTGTAACTTTATCAAACACATTATCTACATGTTATGTTTTAAACATTACACAACACATGACAATTATAAAAATCAATTACACACCAAATTTCACTAATCATTAACTAATTAAATTAACACAAATAATAATACAATAAAACACGTGAATAACAAAATAAGAAATAAAAAAAAATATGTGCATTTAGTAAAATGTATTTAGTTAAAAAAAAAAAA